ATTTGACCCATGGGAGTTCAGGGGGGTGTACCCCTTGATGGTGGATCCACCATCCCAAAGTTTTGTTCCCCTAGTTCACGGTCATGTCCGAGACAGTTGTGAACCGGTCGAATAATCGCCTGATCTCTTTCATGTTTCGTGTGTCAGGTCATCTGCAAACATTGAACAGATCAGGTCCTTCTTAGCGCGCAGGTTCGCTGCCAATGCCTCCATCACAATTATAAACAGGAAAGGTGCCAAAGGGTCTCCCCGGCAAACCGACCTTTGCAGCGGGAAAGCCGGTGCTATCCTTCCATTGACTTGGACGCATGTAGTTGCGTCGTGATGCAGTATTTCGGACCAGCGCCGGAAAACTGACCCTATATTCATTTTTTCCCTACATTTGTCTAGGAAAAATCAGTCCACATAGTCGCAAGCCTTTTCGAAGTCGATAAAGATCACGACTTCATTCAGTTTGTCCTGTCTTGTAAGTTTGAGCAGTTCGTTGACTAGTATTATGTTATTCTGGATCCTATGATGAACCTGGTTTGTATCGGATGGATGATGTCCTCCAACACTGGAGGACACCGATTTGCCAGGGTTTTTGTTAGCATTTTGTAAACGACTGTGAGCAAGGTTATTGGTCTGTACTTCCTAATATCCATCTTGTCTCCCTTTTGTGCAATAAGGTAAGGACTCCCTGACCCACCAGCTCCCCCATTGTCCCTATTTCCCACACATGTTGATAAAACTCCATAAAATCTGGGGTCATCTGAGTCCAGAAGGTCTCCCAAAACTCCTTTGGGAACCATCAATACCCAGCGTCTTTTCCTCTTCCATCAGCATCAATGCCTTCCAAATTTTCTCCTTTGAAAGGGGGCGCTCCAAATCTGCATTTTGTTGCCCTATCAGGGTCCTTTCTAATGGTGTCAAGAAGTCCCTGATTTCTTCCTCCCTCACATTCCACTCCTCTTCGGCACACCTTGAGGTGAACAGGTCATGGAAAAAATATATTGCTATCAGTGTGCAATGTGAGGTGGAGGTGATGACATCGAAGTGTCCAGTCCGTGGATCATATAGTACTTCGATAGATGTTCTGTGCGAGCGCACTCATGCCATGCTGAATAATTTTTTATCCATTGTTCCCTCTGTTTGATACCTTGTCAGTCGTCCTCTTATCCGTGTTCCTTCCCAGCGTTATGTGGCAAAGGTCTGGAGTTGCTGTCTCAGCGTTTGTACCTCAGAGCACTGTTCTAACAGTGAGTTTTGGTTGTCATCAATCTGATCCTGGACCTCTAGTTGCTGCAGTTGTTGGTAAATTTTCATCTCCTGCTGATGTGTTTCTGGCTGCTGATAATTTAGAATATTCTTGAGATTTCTTACCCAGGTAAAAAAGTCCGTTGTTAAACCAATCGACTGCCTGCTGGAAGTATTGCTTTTGCATGTGTCAATACTTCCAGCAGTCCGTGATATAACTTTGAAAGGTTTTCTGTTGCAGGAAACAGGTATTAAGTTTGTAAAAGCCCGGCCCCCGACCGGGTTTCTTTCGAAAGGACAAAATGGTCGTGCACATTTTGTGATCAAGTCCCTGGTATGGGCTTGCAGACAAGATCGCTGCCAGAAGCAGGGATCCTTCCCTGTCTTCGGAGATGAAAATCAGGTCGATTCTGGATCTCGCCTAGATTTCAGTGCTTGTTTTTCGTAAACATGAATAATGTCTGGTATTTGGGTTCACTTTCCGGAAGGAGTCGAATATTTTGAGTGAGAAGGCACAAATCGTTTATCATCTGCTCATCCTCCTCGACCTACACTGGGACTGGGGAGGGTATCCGCCACCTATCCTGCCATCGGTTCGGGGCAGCATTGCAATCTCCTGCTATAATGACCGGAACCCCTTCCGATATTTGTGTTTTAATATCCTCGAAGAAGGTTCTTCTCTCATTCACTGTGTTGGGAGCGTATATACACAGTATACATACGGCTTCGAGTTCTAGTGTAACCAAGACAGATACCCACCTCCCTCGCTCCTGGTCCATCACCCAGTGGACCGGAACCCAGATGGTCACCCCTACACTTCCGGGCTTCGGGTAGTGGGCCCTGAAGGCCTTGTACAGCCAGATCATCTTGTGGATGCGGTTGTGCTCCGGGGTGTCCATCACGTGTGTTTCATGGACGCAGACTATAATTGGTCAGTTTCTATCCCCCACTCCCTTCATCAAATCCCAGATTGTATTTTGTTTCTCTGGTTTGCAGGAGGCTAAGCCGTTCACATTCAAAGAGCGTAGGTCTAGATCAGCTGCCCTCCTCCATTGGTTCAAAATGCGGTCCTTGCCGTACACCGCCCTAACAGGATCTATCTTCCTTGCACTGTTCATTGTTTATTCCTGTGTGTTATTGCTTTACAGGCGGATCCATGGCAGATGATCCCAGTCCCAGTCCAGGCCTTCTCAAAGGAGAGAACATAAACATCTTTGAACATCCTATGCCGTCCAGGTGTCGCTGTGTTCAATTTTGATTGTTGGTAATTTTGAACATCCCTTTCTTGCATGCTTTCTACGGGTTATACAGGTGAACCGGATCGGCCCGCAATAGCGTCCTCCTCACGTTTGCATCACAGTAAGGCCATCCTCGTCTGCGATTGGAAAGGGAGGGAGGTCGCTATGGCAGACCGATGTAAGGTTCGGGCACAGGCAGTTACCGGCGATCATATTCAGGGTGGCAAACGGGTGGCAAACGTCGCCTCCATACAACTCTCAACTTGTCCCACTGCACCCAATCCTGCTAGATAAACACAAGCTGCTAACCGTCTTGACTCCAACCAATTGTCACCTTGATAGACGGCGATGGCCAGCGACAGAGAGATCGGGTGGAACGAATAAATCCGCGCACCTGATATCCCTGGTGGCCTTCAGATATGTCTGGTGAACGAAGACATTGACACGTCGCACTTGCGTTGACAGGGAAAGGGGAAAGGAGGCCACTGACGATCTTGCACGCACTCCGAACGCGGGGATTGACAACTGGTCAGGAAGGGAAATAGTGTATCAGCACACTCATGCACTCAGGCAGACAGCCAATCACCCAACTACCCCGGTTGTGCACTCATGCGCTCAGCGAGACGAAGACGTCACACACCTTCAATACTCGTACATCCATAGACTTTCTGACAGCGATTCATTCAACATCCATAGACAGTCACAACCATAGCCGGCACACGACTTAGTATCCAGACTTAGTCTTTAGCACACACAACCAATGGACAAAGCAACGATGGAGAAGAAGTGAGTCCCTCGCTATTTAAAAATCACAACCATGTTGGCACTCCACGTGCGCATCCACCATACCGGACCAAAGGCAAGCCAGCAATAGCCACAAGGCCCTGCCGCTGACGGCATTCCCCTGTTCACCACTGCTCAATCCCTCCGTCTGCCTTACCCCAAGTCTATCACAAATTCCGCCTCACCCGTCACTCCGCCCCTTCCTCGGGCACGTCAAGCCTGTTCGGTGCCTCAGTCTTCGCGCACAGCTTGCGTAGTATTGCAGCCGAGTTCAAAGAGAACGAGAACGGGGCTGCAAAAAGTTGTAGCGTGGAGGGCGATGAGTCGCCAGCATGCCATGCGGATAGCGAGGGGTGTAGATGAGGAGGAGAGAAGGAAGAAGGTTCCAGAAGGTAAGAAGGCGTGACGATCAAAATGTTTTTTCACTTGGGGTGGTCATTCAAGCCACGCATTTGCTCGCCCTTACGGCTTGATCCGGCCAACCCAACTGACAACCAATCAATCGCGCAAGCAGGCAAGGAGATGATAGGACAAAGGATCTAGAGAAAGACGAAGGGTTACACGGAGATAAAGGATAACAAGAAAGGAAGTTAGTATGCGCTCGCAAAGCAGGAAGCGAGCTTGCGTGACACAAAAGAATTCAAAAATGCCACGCACGCTCCTGCGGATGCAAAGAAAATATGAAATTGCCGTCTGCCGAACTCGTAATTGTTTGCTGAAATCCCTCATGGTCGGTAATCGGCCGTGCGAGACTACTCTGAACAAGGACAAGGGCAAATCCAAATGATGCATGCAGATGGCCCTCAGAAACTCAAGACGGACCCCGTTTCTGTTGTCAGCCAAGATTTGCACATCGGGGCTAACTTTTGGGTTTAATCCGAAGGGTATGTGAAGCCGCGAGGTCCGAACCTTGGCTTATCACACCTGTGAGACCTGCTGGCTGTTTTTGGAAGGGCCCAACCATCTCCAAGGGTCCGTGCCGGCACGCATCTCTGATGCGAGTCTGGCGAGATGCTCTAAGGCCAGCGATTGCCATGGGAGGCCTCGTGAGCATGTTAAACCGTTTTCCCTATTGCAGTGAGAGAGCCACAGCCTTTGTTTCAGGGTCTAGAATTCCTCGGACCCCTTGCAGCCTCGGTTGCACCACTGAGTCCCAGGCTACCCTGTTGAACACGTGGGGCATTTCATGATTGCAGCGCCATAGGAAGGCCACCAGCTCCACATTTCTCATGGCCCCTTGCAGCCAAGCGGCTCAGTGGCCAAATAGCTGATTTGTATTACAGGGCCATCAGCTCCACATTTCTCATGGCCAGGGCCCTTCCAAACATAAAAGTGCGCTTGTCCTGCCAGTCTTTCAGCTTTTCCATTGCCCGGATCATGACCCGTGCATCGTTTGTTGATGGTTTTGCCCATAGCCGACAACTACCTTCCTAAAATGCAAACAGAGGCTTCAAGGGGGTTGCCATGACACCGGTGGGTCCTCTGGCGGTCTTCCCCCGTCATGGTGCATCCACGAGCCCAACGTTTTCCTGGCCCGGTTTATTGCCATGTCCGACACCAAGCAGAACTGGTCCATAAAAGACGATCTGCTGCATGTATCGGGCTGTAGCCTCCATCATGATGGTCAGATCGTCAGCGAACATCGAGCTTACTGGAATGGCCTCCGCCAGGATGGAGGAGACCTGTGGCTTGTGAATGTTTTTGTTTGACGTCCATTCTTGTATGAAATAACACAAGCTATGCATTGTCCTTACTTATTTGTTGCGAAATTCTAACCCCTTCAAAGCAAAATATTTCTTCTCTTTTTTGCAACATATTTGGTTTTGAAAGTTTGCTCACTTCGTTCAAATTGCATAAATGAACAGTTTGTCAGAACTTTCCCATTTGTTTCGTGCAGGCATTTCCCGCACCGCCCACACCGTCGGTGCTAAGCTAATCAACATCAAATAGGAATGAGAACCACACGCAGAAGCAGGTGGAAAGGTGAAAAAATTGTAGCAAGGGATGATGATGAAGAAAAAAATGAGGCCAGGGAAATGTCAGAATCTCGCTCTGGCAATGTGGGAGGCTCCAGGAAGACGGAGGAATGGACATTATGGGTGCCCCTCGTGCAGTCTATCATACAGCTTCACTGGTGTTTCCTTCCTGAAACCTCACTGCCGCAATTCCCAATGCAGCATTGATGGTTTTCACTCCCTGTTTATCTTGACCAATGATTTCTTTCCCTCCATTTTTCCCAGAAGCTTCGGAATCCTCGATTCTGATATCACTGTTTTTCTTTTTCAACATGCTGAGAGGTGATCGCAAAGACGCTCTCCAAGAAACACTTCCACCTTTGAGCGCTCTTAAAAGCGGCTCCATTTGCACAGTCATTGATCTTGCACCACCAACGTGGTAGGCAGGTCCGCCATGTTTAGTCATGTCTTGACCACTAGTTTCCACATCTACTGGAACACGGAGGATTCCCATATAACTGAGGACCGCAAAGAAAGGACCAATTGTCAACGTGACCCAACCGATGATGACCACCACATAGAGTAGTTGCACGCCAAGTAGCCTACCACCACCCCCATGGAATGCTCCATAGTACTTGACCTGTTCTCGGGGAGCAAGCGAAGTCACCATCTTCTCTTTGCCTGCAAATAGCCCAACAGCTACTAAACCCCAAGTCCCACATCCACCGTGTAGAGGGGCTGCATCAACTGGATCATCAATCATCGCCTTCAGGAGCAACCAGCTAGCCAGCAAGTATACAGGTCCGGCCATGCTACCGATAACGAATGCCTCCCATGGTTCAATCACGGCACAACCAGCTGTGACAGAGATCAGCCCCCCTAACGTACCATTGCAGACACTCATGACATCCCATGTGGCCGAAATTAGTCGTTTAAGGAAAAGAGCGCTTAAACCCCCTGATGCTGCCCCAATTGTTGTCACAACTGCTATTCGCTCAACCACGTGTTCCATCCCTACAATGCTTATAGCTGAACCAGGGTTGAATCCATACCAGCCGAACCAAAGGAGAAATGTTCCAAGTACTACCAGAGATGCGGAATGACCCCTTATTTCCAATGCCGCTCCGTTTGCATCAAATCGCCCAATCCGTGGTCCAACAAGGTATGCACCCCAGAGGGCAGCACTACCCCCAACCAAGTGAACAACCCCGCATCCTGAATAGTCTATGGCCCCTACTCCTCCGAATGTTGGATCGGTTGGACTCTTTCCAGAATAGGAAAGCCATCCACTTGGGCTCCATACCCAATGCACTGCCACCGGGTACACAAATGCGCTGAGCATGAAAGCGTAACCCAAGTAGGAAACGAATGACGACCGCTCCGCCATTGCCCCACTTACGATTGTTGCTGCTGTTGCTGCAAATGTCCACTGAAATAACCAGTAGCCATAGTTGTTGTAGTCGTGAAGGGCAAAACCATCTGATCCAATGAAACCATTCGAAGTCCCTTCTCCATAGGCAAAGGCAAAGCCAAAGAAGTACCATGCAATGCAACCGACACATGCATCTAGAAGGTTCTTAAGCAGAATGTTGATGGTGTTCTTCTGACGCACTGATCCGGCACAAAGCATGGCAAATCCTGCCTGCATGAAAAAAACTAAGTATGCTGAAAAGAGAATGAAGGAGACATTGATACTTGGCCCAATGTAGCGGTCAAAATGGTCCCCGACATAGCCACAAATAGCACTAGCGACTAGCGTGGAATTCAGCCCTGTCACATTCTGCAGCCCCGCATCAACGAGGTCCGCCCCAAGTTTTGCGCACACTTTAGATTCTGAAGGAGACATTTGCAAAAGCTATATTCACCAACTAACACCAAGTGAAGACTGCCACAAACCCTCCTCTATACTTTCATCATGAATGCTCAAGATCCATGAACGGTTTCTCGACCAGTGTTCTTGATGCGGTTATGACCCCTAACTTGCCCACCAACTTCAGCTTGGTGCAGATGGCAGGACTGCCAGATCAACGTGACTCAGGCAGTTCCGATGCTTCAGGCGGGTTCGTGCCGCCGTTTATAGTGTTGTACACTGATCACTCTCTCAATGTAGCAGTCGCACCCGTCCGTAAAGTCTCTATTGTCATCATTGTCCCTCACGACACTTTATTAAGTTGATAACTTTTGATTCTGAATTCTGGACTAGAACTTCGAGCTCTGCAGGCTCGTGCCATCCAATCAAGCTGGTCGTTGAGCATTCAACTTCTTCCGGAAGGGGATAACAAAAACATCAAAAAAATACTGCATCGTTGCAATGTTGAAGTGGGTTCAAAACACCGTGTCGAAGAACACCGTCTGCTCCTTCAGCATAACATTGTCATTTTTTAGTGATTGCCTCAGATGGCATCTGGAAGTCAACGTGAAACGTGTGCTTTTCTGTCGAAGACGAAGATTTGAACTCGGACCAATATTGCAGCAGCGTCATGTGAAACGTGTGCTTTTCTGTGGAAGACGAAGATTGGAACTCAGAATGTTTCCGAAGTAAGTCAAATGAACTGAGCTCACCATACTCGGTACCTGCACCTTGAGCAGATGCTCCGTGCACAGAAAATTGCAGCTGCGACGTGGCTAATGCTCTGCATTATCACTGACAACAGTGACAAGAGATCAGCTGTTCTGGCAGATCTAAAACCACTCCCAAGAAGCTGGCACATGAATGGACAAAATGCTATCATTGTTGAGTGATGCATTTCAAGACCGTCACCCATGATACGTTGCCGTTAATTCCCGCCTTTGAACCTGATCTACCAGCTGGCGTTACAAGATCTGGCAAAGGGCATGTGATGCTAAGTCGCTGTCTGGCATGCATGCCATGCATCCCCCTGCAGTACTGACAACAGTGTGGAAGCAAGATCGGCTGAACTGAATCTGCAAAATCACACTGCTTCTCGCGTCAAACACACTTCATCACACCAAGCTCGACACATAGAGATGCCAATCAGCACAAGAACAAAACTTTTGAAAAATTGTATTGAAATTCGAAGTCTGGTACAGCAGAGTCTCTCGATTACACACACGGATGGCTTTGGCCCACCAAACCACCTCAACCGATACAGCTTCCTCTCTCTCGCAGCAACTCAAACAGGTTTGGTAGATCGCATGGGAAACGGGGTTGGAAGTCTTTTCAACTAAAAGAACTGGTCACACTAACAAATTTCCAACTAGACAGTACGTATTTCTACTCAATGAGGCAGCCAATGCAGCAAAGTACCGGGATCCAAATTCGGGTGAGGGCAACCCCACCTCTTGCTAATGTGCTTTGCATATTCGCTGAGCAAGATGGGAGATCTTTATATCCTAGGTTTCAAAAGTTACATCTGGCGGGCTTTTTAGTGTTAAGAGGCATCAAGCCAGAACTGTTAATATCTGATCACGATGTTTTCTGCAAATATCTGTTAATATCTGATTCCGATGTTTTCTGCAAATATCTGTTAACATCTTGATTCAGACAAAGTCCATAACAGCAAAAATCAGACAAAATTACGCTGAGCAACTTGGTCAATCCCGTGAAGGGGGAGAGAGAGAGAGAGAGAGAGAGAGAGAGAGAGAGAGAGAGAGACTGTGGACCAGCTTTCCAGCAGGTGCTACTCCCCACAAATAGACTGGAGTCTCTCATGAGCCTGATAGGCGTGGATGCTCATATCACCACTCCTATCAGACAAAAGGGGTGTCTTTATTTACGATGGGAGAAAGCCATGGACCATGTCTTTCACAAGATGCTGGCACAAATCGATAGATACCATCCCAACAACTTTATACTTGAAAAGACCGACGCTGGCAGTGTCATATACTGGAATAATTGGAAACCAGGTCGGTCATCACGGATGTACCAGCTTGGATTTTTACTTTTCATAAAGCTCCAAACTTGGGGCACAATATGAGAAGGAACAACATAACGGTTCAGAACAGTGAAGTGGTTCAACTCCTACGCTCCTTTGGCTCAAAAGTTTGCGGCTCAAAAGTTTGCGGCTCAAAAGTTTGCGGCTCAAAATTTTGCGGCTCAAAAGTTTGCGTCGGTGTCCAAAACACTCTGCAGGATTGTGGATAATACAAATCCGAACTTCACAGAATGGTGGAGCCTTGTTACACTGATGAAGGAATTGGGGTCTAAATGGGGATGATACCCAAGAGAGGTCTTTGAAGCACGACTGAAGACGATAGCAAGGAGTAGGAGGGAAGTTACAAGCCTACAAGTTTTGGGGATGACATGTCAAAGCAGATGGTGAGATGGACGGGAAG